AGTATAAGATTATAATAGTATTAGCTATCTTAGTTAGTTAATATACTACTATAAGATAGCTTTACTAGTTAGTAAACTTCTCTATTTAACCTATAAGAAAAGACCTATTACTAATCTTAGTTTAGGCTTTCTAGACTTACTTAAAAGTAAAGTAACTAAAGTAAGTATCTAAAGTTTCTAGAATATTTATATATAAATAGAAGTTATCTATAAAGTTTTTAATATAGATCTAGATATTACTATTAACTTTAGCCTCTAAGTACTAGATCTATTAGTCTATAAAAAGAGTTTTATACTTCTAAACTATAAAGTAATACTACTTTAAGTAGTTCTTACTAGTATTACTACTCTTCTATACCTTAATATCTAGAAGCTTAAAGATAGTTATACGCTTACTACTAATAGTAGAAGTAACTTTTTATATAGTCTAGATACTATTATATAAAAGTATAACGTAGTAGTAAAGATTTATATTTAGTAGATTTATAAAGTAGTAGTTACGTAAGTAGAAGTATAATTATAATAGTAAGAAGTAGAAGTAATATTATTAGTTACGTAGTATATTATATTAGAAGAAATAAAGCTCTAGTTTATAAAAAGTATTACACTAGCTTAGATAGAAATTAGATAAAGTAGTGTAATAGTTAACGCGCTAGATATAGTGCTTAGATTCTACTAAAGCGTATTATTATATAGTAAAAAGTTAAAAAGTAGAGTTAAATATCTAAAGACGTTAGAGTATATTATTATACTAACGTAACTACTAGGTAGTAAACTTATTTAGCTTTATATTTATATTAGAGACTAGAATAAGCTACTATTCTAAAGCTTTATTCTATTATATAATATCTTTATAGTTTTTATTCTTCTTAGTATACTACTTATAGTAATACTTAGAGCGCACTTTCTTCTTAACTAGTTATTTCTTAATAGCGCTATACTTCTTATAGTACTCTATATATAATATATAGAACTTATACACATTTTACTTCTTAAAGTTATAGTTTTTTTATAAATTAGTGTACGCTAGATTATTATAAATATTATTTAAGAAAAATAATAAAGTCTAAAGTATATTAATATTATTCTTAAAGTTCTAGTTCTAAGCTTTAGTAGCGCTAAGAGAGGTATAAAGTTTTTTAGTCTTAGCCTCTAAGTACTAGACTCTAATAAGAAGCTTTCTATTTTACACTTCTAATCTAGATATAGCTTTAATATACTTATTAAAGTCTTTTTTAGAAATAGCGCTTTTACTTATATATAGTATAGAAGCTACTTTTTTAAATCTATATATAATCTTAGTAAAGAGAGTATATAGTAGACTAAGCTAGTTAGTAGTAAGCGCTTATAAGTTATTATTAAAGATAATAGTAAAGTAAGTATCTTCTATAATAGATTCTTAGCCTAGATTTAAGTTATACTATTTAGTTTTATTATTATTCTTATTATTAGTATTAAAGATCTCTAAGTATACTTAGCTATTACTATAGCTTAGCTTTATATATACTTATAACTTATCTTAAACTAACTATAGTTAATAGCTACTAAGAAAGATATTATATAGTTTATTAGTAGTAATAGAAACTATTATAGGCTCTATCTAGATAGTATCTTTACCTAGCTAATCTAATTCTATAATATTAGAAAGTATAGAGTAGCTAAAGATACTCTACTAGCTAGGCTTAGTGTAGTAAATAGTAAAGAGAGAGATAATCTCTATACTTTAGCTAAGAGTATTTTAGGTATTAGTTAGAGAATTAAAGGTAATAGTAAGTAAATTACTATTATTTCTACTAGTTCTATATTACTTATAACTAGAATCTTAACTATATAAAGTAGTAGATATCTTACTAGACTTAGTATTACGCTTAGTACACTAAACTAGACTAGTAGAAGAAACGCGTAAAAGCTTAGCTAGTAGTAGATCTATATTTAATTAGTAGTAGCTAAGAGTAATATTAGTATAGAGAGTATTACTATTAGATATTATAATAATAGTTAATAGTTAAGTATAATAGTAGTAGTATATATAGAGAGAAAGAGTAGAAAGTAAGAAAGTAGTATATTAAATAGGTAGAAGTAGAGTAATTTATTTACTATTAGTTCTACTTACTTATTATAAAGTAGTAAGCTAAGTCTTCTACTATTTACTAAGATAAAGTATAGTAATAGTATTATTAGTAATAGAGTTAACTATAATTATTTCTACGTAGTAATATAATACTCTCTTAGAGTTATACTACGCTTAGTAATATTCTTTAATAATAAGCTTCTAGTATAATATACTTCTATAATTAGTAAGCTAGCGCGCTATCTACGTAGTAAGTTCTACTCTATAGTTATATAATAAAGCTTTATAGCGTAGTATTAGTAGCTATATATTCTAATCTAGTATAACTAAAGGTAGAGAATATATTATAAAAGTATAATAATTATTAGCACTTTAGCTATAGAGTTATAATTAAATATTTATAAGTATAAGTAAATATATACACTAAGTTTTTTAGTATAGTTACTACTACGCGTATTCTAGATACTATAAGGTAGACGTAATATAGTATAAGAGATATTAATAGATAAGATAATTATATTAAGTAGAGTACTAAGTAAGATATTATATATAAGTTAAAGAGAGCTATATAGACTAAACTTTAATATTTAGCGTATAGGCTCTTTACTAGCGCCTTAGTAAGTAGAGATTATAAGTTTAATCTATAATAACTAGCGCCTTAGTAAGTAGAGGTTATAAGTTTAATCTATAATATTTACTAAAAGAGATTTTAGTATATATATTCTAACTATAAATCTTTAGAATATATTACTCTATTAGTTATAAGCTAATAAGTATATATAATTATATTATAATTCTCTTAAAGATTAGTATTTAAATTCTTTTATAAAGTACTTTAGTATTAGAATAGCTTTATAGCTAGCCTAAATTTAGAAGCTTTAACTATTTTAGAAGTAGTAGTACTAAAACTCTAAGTCTTAGCTTACTTAATACTATACTTCTAAAAGTAAAGAAAACTTTTAGTTATATATTTTCTAGTAGACTAGTAATAGACTTTACTTTTTTAGAACTAGTTTATAAACTATAGAATTATTAGTTTACTAATAAAATAATAAATTTATTAAAAAATATTTACTTTTAGATTTATTTAAAAGCTTCTATTCTTTTAATAGATATCTTAGAACTATACGTTACTACTATATATTAGATAGACCTATCTTACGTACCTTATCTACGCGCTTACGTGCATTAGGTAATACTATGCAACTGTCTTATTCCCGGAGACGCTAAAGGTTAACAGGCTTACGAAAACCAACTCGTTCTGCACGTCCCAGATTTCTATTCACTAGCATCCCCCACGGTATTAAACGTCTTTCTTCGCCCGTAGTTAGTCTTTATCGCGATTACCCTGCACAAATGGCTAGTCAACGCGTCGACGCGAAGGAGGTTGCAGACTTGAACACTGTTATGGGTCGCAACCTTCAGACATGGCCTGGCGCGCGCGACATTGGGATACAAGAAGCCACCCTGAATGCTGAAGCTCGCCATCAAGATGCACAGCACACACACGACAAGCCAAGCCAGCCTGCTCTCGCCCGCGTACTTTCGCGTCGATCGGCAGCTTCATTCGACCCAGGCCCCGCTCCCGATGGTGGCCTCACAGCTTGGACCCAAGTCCTATGCACGCACCTAACTATCCTGACCACCTTTGGCTTCTTCACGTCATTCGGCGTGTATCAGACCTACTACGAAAACACACTCGGCATAGCTTCCTCGACCATTTCCTGGATTGGATCGCTTCAGGTATTCCTTCTCTTCTTCCTTGGCACTTTTACAGGCCGTGCTACGGACGCTGGACTTTTTCGCCCGGTCTACATCGCTGGTGCGTGCTTTCAGCTACTCGGTATCTTTACCTTGGCGGAGAGCAAAAGTGTTTGGCATGTCTTTCTCTCTCAGGGCGTATGTCTGGGAATTGCAAATGGGTTGCAATTCTGTCCGTCCATGGCCCTTGTCTCCACTTACTTTGTCAAGCGTCGTGCTTTTGCGCTGGGCTTCACAGCGCTGGGGTCCTGCACCGGGGGCGTCATTTTCCCGGTTATCGTGCAGCAATGTCTACCCAGCTTAGGCTTTCCATGGACGATACGCATCATCGGCTTTATCATGTTGCTCATGAATGCCATCACCATCGGCTTGTACCGTACCCGGCTCCCTCCCAGGAAAAGTGGTCCATTGGTCGACTGGGCGAGCTTCACGGAACTGCCATATGCTCTGTACTGTGCTGGTGCCTTTTTCAGTTTCTGGGGATTGTATTTCGCTTTCTTCTACATTGGAAGTTATGCGCGAAATGTTCTTGGTGCCAGTTACCAGCAAAGTATCAATCTGCTTCTCGTGCAAGTATGCATGGGGTTTATTTTTCGCCTACTGCCGACCTACTATGCCGACAAGGTTGGTGGGCTTAATGTTCTAATACCGTTCGCGTTTGTCTGTGGTATCATGATGTTCGTATGGATTAGAATCAACTCCATCGTCACCCTGTACATATTTGCTGTCATATATGGAAGCGGGAGCGCCGTTATCCAGGCGCTTTGGCCTGCGGTAATCGGAAGTATGAGTCAGGAGAGAGATCTGAAGAAGTCTGGGGTGAGGATGGGCATGGCCTTCACCGTGGTGAGTATATCGAGTTTTACAGGTCCGCCACTAGCTGGAGCGATCATCCAGAGCCACAATGGCAACTACACGTATGCGAATGTTTGGGCGGGTCTGTCTTTCTTTGTAGGAGGGTTTCTTTTACTTGCTACTAGGGTGTCGCTGGTAGGCTGGGACTGGAAGGCAAAAGTCTAGAGGTAGCTTGCATCGAGCGTTCCTTGGCCTACCTTTCGTGCGTTGCCGCGATGTGTTCAGGATGACTAGGATTGGGGGGGTACAAGGGAACATGTTCCGTGCGATCTATGGGAAGATCATGACTTGCGACGTTCTTGCACTATCCTTCCTATTTATCCTTGAGCGTAGTGACCCTTGCTAACAGGCTGGGGTCTTCTCTCTCTTTGTCCATCTTGGCATGCCAATGCGCCTCGGCCTTGGCTGCATTTTTGCGAACCCGCGCAGTGTTCCACTTCATATAATAACAGCAAAGCGGGAAGAAGATTGAGTCTACCACAGCCCAGGCAGATGAGATTCCAAAGTTCAAGCCAACTCGTGGATGCAGATCGAACAGGATTGACCGTGTGAGCTCGACGATATTGTGCATCGGCCAACCATAGCCCCAGCGATAAAAGCTCGGTGCAAGCTCGAGGGCATAAAACCCAGTGGCGACATTGCTGATGACCCAGAAAATGAGCCACAACGCCGTCCAAGGGGAGCCCAGCAGCATGGCCATATTCTCGCTCGCAAGGCCAAAAGCAATCATTCCAATCCAATTGCCCATCCAGTATACCAAGAAGGTACCTCTGCCATACGCGTTAGGGTTACCGGCGGGCTGATTGTGGGAGGCAGTAGGACGGTCCATGGGCATAAGGTAGGCGAGGCTGACAAAGGAGTAGACGAGAGAGAGAAAGAAGTAAGATGCGACCGTCGCGATGTAGCGCCACACGATAAGCTGATAGAAGTGCAGCGGTGGATGACCTTTGGGCGAGAGGTACTTCAGATGGATAGGTAGGAAGAACGTAAAGCTAAAGAAGGAGATGATGACTAGATAGCGGTGTAAGATATTAGTATATGTCACATGCGGTTCGTACAGGAACATTGCTCACTCAGGTATATAAGGCCAATGCTAACCGCGGGTGTAGCAATAGGCGGTCCAAAGGGGCGTAAGTCGTTGACGGTGAACTCAATGCCGGGAGAGAGAGCTTGGGGTGCGATGTCTAGGCGCATGTCCGTAACTGAAACGTTGTTCTGGAGAAGATGTGCGATCCACGCGCGGCCAAATTCGGTGACTACGCGCTTCTGGAGGGTGTTAATACTTGGTACAATGTAAGTCGAGGTGGTAATTTGATCGCGCGCCGAATTATAGATGATCTGGCAGGCACCCAAGGGATCGTAGCTCGCGTTCCCCAGTTTCACTGCGGCATCGAGCATTGCTGTGGCGTTGGAATTGATGATGACGGCCGCCCAGGCATGGAAGTCGTAAACTTTGTTGCGTACGTTCAGCGAGTCGTTGCTGAAGTCTTTGGGAGACGCAAAGGTGTAGCCAGGCACCACGCCATCTTCCTCCATAATGCTGCGAACAGTGCGAGTGACAAACGGACCCACGAAGGGTGCGACCCCGGTAAACGGTGGCTGGCCATCGAAGTCTACAACGGAGATGTTCAGACCCCCCACGTTTGCATTTTGACGAAACAGTGCACCCCAGAAAAGGCAAAGAAAGGCCATGATGGCAATGGCGAGAATGAGATTTGTACGAAGCCAGAGCCTGATCACGTGTAGCCTGACAGCGGCCATGGACGAGTGAAAGAACCCGACAGGCGCCTGTTCTTGCACGATCCTGCGGCTACTCTTTGTGCGGCCACGCTGCAGCGTTGTTAGCCTATTGGGAGCGGCGGTGGTGCCATGCACCGTCTCAGTCTTGACACCCGTGGTCTGCTGCTCCAGAGGAGTAGAGCTGGCGGCGGCGGAAGCTTGTATTCCCAGCTCGGACTCGCTAGATGAGCTGAAATCGTATTCGTGATGATATCGTGGGGCGATCTGACATCCAAGTGTGGAATGAGACATGTTGGGCGCTATGATTGATTACCTACTGGACATTTTCACTGCTTATATTTCCTGAGGCCCTGACACTTAGTGCTTGCTGTGGGTTGCTGACGGATGTACGCTAAAGTGACGCTAGTTCATTTGCAGTGAGATGATTCGACGGTTCCGTCTCCAGTGAACGCTACCTACCTATGTAGTTACCTACCTACCTAGGTAGATAAGCTTCACTCCCGAGGTCTTGAGTTACGGCCGATGTGGCTGATGCCAAAATCATTGCTCAGCATTCTAGGTAAACTGATTCGAGCTATTTGAACGGTTCAGTAGAGTTTCCGCTTGTGAGCCCAACGATCAGAGCTGCGCGTGTGGTTCCCAGATGGTACGAAACCCGAAATCGGTATAGCTTGGTGGCTGACATAAGCCCGGGAGAATCCAGGAACCACCTGAGCACGGATCCGCTCAATCGCGCCGCATGCCAACCGCTCAACTCTCATCATGACGGACGCGGACACCTGTGGCTTCAATTACTGCCTTTGCGGGGAATCGGGCCTTCGGTGCATCGCTTCAGACCCATCTACAGAATAGGCATGTCGGGCAGGGGGCGCAGAGGCGGTCGCAGCGCTAGAGGTGGCAGAGGACGAGGCAGAGGCAAGACGCGAACAGTATGCTACCGCCAAATCGCGAGACAATCGTGAGACAATCGCCACAACCAAACACTACTAAAATGTGCGCAGTGGGAGTGGGAAGCATACACGCCTGGCGCCGAGGTGTACGACCAGTTATGGCGCATTCGCAAGGAGCCTGCCACTGTCGCCGCACGACTACCTAACATCTGCCCTATGTCGAACGCACGAACGCGAATACTCCATCGCCGACAGACCGAGGACCGCTTCAAGCGGGAGCTATACACCGTAGAGGTCACATATACGGGCGGACCGGGGAGTGCACGGGACGGTATTGCCCTTACACAGCTTGAGGATGTGGACCTGCAACGCATACTGCAGTTCGTTTCTCCAGCTGAACTGGAACGATATGAAACTGAGCAGTTCAGGCTCGAGGCAGAGGCAGAGGCCATTGCTATGCGCACCGAGGCCGAAGACCTGGCGCGTCGCCAACTGCGAAAGAATGCCAAAGGGCCAAACGCCAGCAAAGGGAGCCGCATGCTCAGCGCGCTCGCCTTCTCTGTAGAGCCGACCCCACGTTCACGGGGTCGACCGAGAGCCACACGCGGAAAATGCAGGGGAAGGGCGAGAGGTGTAGAGCCAACAAGAGGCCTCGTCGTAAGCTCCCGACAGCTCAAGAACGACATGCACGAGCAGCTGGTAGACAGCGAACCTATGGTGTTCGATCGCACGACCGAACACGTCGGACAACCCACGCAGACATCGCCCAACACCACACGCTCAGCTTTTGTCGCCAACAGCGCTCTTTCGGTATCACCAATAGCCAGGAGAGTATCCATCTCTGTCCCTCGACGGGAACTTTCAGAAGTTTCCGAACCTTCCGAACCAGAAGATGTGGACTACTTAGCGCTCAGCGACAATGATGCAAGATCTACAAGAGGCGACTTACCATCGCTCGCAATCGAGGTTGGGAATGCGGGCAGCAGTAAAGATCGTCCGTCCTCTAGCCCATCCGGGATCGAGAGCACTCTTCCATGTCAACTTCACCCCATCATACCCGCTTTTTCACCGTCTGCTGATAACGTGCTCCAAGAAGCTCCAACGGCAGCTCCATTTTCCGCGCGAGACTCTGGCTCCCCAGCTCCATTGGATTCCAGAGTGGCGGACGTCCTTCTGCAGACAGCGTCTTCCTCTAATTATTCAGCGCTTGCTGCATCAGACCAAGACGACATAATACCCCCACAACCCGCTTCGCCGCAATTTGAATCGGACGGATACGTCGGCAGCCGAATAACATCTATGCGCACATTGTATCCGGGACAACAGTCGCTCGAACACAACAACGAAGACGATGCAGAAGCGGATGCAACGGAAGAGTTTGCTGTAGAGGCCATCGTGGCGCATTTTCACGAGCACGAGAAGAACTACTACCTCGTCAAGTGGGAGGGATACGAAGACAGCCATGATTGGCTTCCTGAAGAAGATCTTGAGGGCGCTGCAGACCTGGTCACTGAATACAAGGAGCGGATTGGATGGAGGAACAAGAAAGTCGAAATAAGATGACATGATGTAACGAATGGGTTGAATGTAGATATGGGCTTCAATCTCTTAGTTGGTCGTCAGAAGACCAGGCATGTTGCCATGTCCCAATGCCTCATCTGCACCGTATCCATGTGCCTGCATCAGACGTTTCGAATTCCATCCACAGGGCCAGTTGAAAGAGGAGTGCGTCTCGGACAGACCCGTGTGTTGATCTGCTTACGTATATTGAATTACCTCCCTTGCTTGTTTCAGATCTGATGATGTCGTCGCAGGATAATGTGGTTCGTGGGGCAACAAAGCTCGTCGCGGTGAACTCGTCAACATTGTAAGTTTGCCACACTGCACACCAACAAGATCGTCACACCGCGGCATGCTCCTCATCTTCAAGTACTAGTTCCAGGTTCCCATGACGCCCAGGTGAACTCCGAGACGCTCCAAGGATTAGACATGACGCGAATTGATCGCGCCACACTGCAATGGTCCGCTAGAACCTTGCTCCCGAGGTCTGAAGCAGATTGATGATCAAGGCCTTAACAGGCTTCTACGGTAACATAGCAGACTAGGGTGTAAGTTGGAGTATACATTAGATGTAACATATGCAGAACGCGACCGGAGTTCTATAAGCCGCCGGAGCGAGTCACGTGACGCGATGTCTCCAGGGTTCAGCCGAGGTCGTGGCTGAGCTGCGACATGCAACAACACAACACAGCGGCCACCGTCACTCTTGTACGCGACACAAGCATGTCGTCTTCTACGCGCTACGCCTACCCCTTTGCCGCCTCTCCCGACATCATTCGCTCGCACCAGAAAGACGCCTACTTCTCCGGCGTGCTTCTCGATCAGCTCTCGACGCTGTTGCGCAAGCTCTATGGCGCGCGCACGTCGCATACGTATGCGTCCGAGACGCGTGTAGCCGGAGAAGTCCTTTACCTCGGTCTGACGACGCTGATAGGGAACCGGACCCTGGGCGAGGAATACACAGACATTGTCCAGGTGGAAAGCGAAAGCGGACGCCTGCCGGCGCTGGGCCGCAGAGCTGGATACATACTCGGCTGCATCTTGGGGCCATATGTGCTCGGGAGGGCATTGCCGGCCTTGAGGCGGCGAGTGCGCGCAAAGCTCGAGGCGAATTTGCGGTGGCATGCACGACAACAGGCACGGGCACAGCATCAGGCACAGCAGAGTGGGAGCAAGACACAGATAGGGCGACCGTTGGGCATGCGCGTACAAAACTACCTACTCCGAAACCTCGACACCATTACATCGCCATCACCCGTGTACGCTCTCTCGTTGGCATCGTTTTACTTCTCCGGGAGCTACTACCACCTCTCAAAACGGATATGGGGGCTCCGGTACATCTTCACGCGCCAGGTGACCGAGGGCGACAATCGCGCAGGCTACGAAGTCCTGGGCGTATTGCTAGTCCTACAGATGGCTGTACAGGCTTACCTACACGTGCACAATACTGTCACCTCTTCGACAGCGGCAGTGGGTGGCGGCCACCCGCAAGGCACGTCGGCCATTGTCGGTGGCGGCGCAGAAGTGTCTCTGGATCCCAATGCTTACAGCGCCAACAACGCGCTACTATTCGACGCAGCGTCGGCGGTGCCCATAGCGGCGCCGTCCGACGTGCAAAAGTGGACACAGACACCAGCGTTGGACAAGGCAAGATACGAGCTGGAGGGGGAGGAAACAATGGGATGGATTGGCGGCGGCAATCGGAAATGTACGCTGTGCCTGGAAGAGATGAAGGATCCGAGTGTGACGACGTGTGGTCATGTCTTCTGTTGGACGTGTATCGGGGACTGGGCGCGGGAGAAGCCCGAATGCCCGCTTTGTAGGCAGACGTGTCTAGTGCAGCATGTGCTCCCGCTGAGGGGGTAGGCGGGTGGCGTGTACAATCACAATATCTTCTCGGCCTCATCTATCAGTCGCTCTACCTGGAATGCGCTGTCTCCGCGGGTGAACATGTCGAGAAGCTGGCTGCGGCCCTTGCCCTCTTCCGTCTGCACGTAGAACTTCTGCATGCACATGACGAGCCATCTGGCGTCGTCGACGGATACGCCCCTGTTCTCAGTGACCAAGCCCTGGCCCAAGACCAAGTTGTGGGTCTCGGCGAGCTCGTGGTGGAAGGTGACGGTGGTGTGGGGACTGGCGAACTCGCCCCTGAGCTTGAACTCTGCCAGTGTCGTGAACATGAGCGTGGTGGTATCGACGTGCGGGTGGGAGAACTGGAGATAGTGCAGCTCGGCGGCTTGCTGCGTCTGAGGCGGCTGCTGCGAGGCCGATGGGGCGTCGGCGGGTATCTCGCGGGGGACAGGGAGGACGAACGAGGGGTGCTGTTTGGCGCTGCGAAGGAGCTGGGAGAAGGTGGTGGCGGGGACAGCGAAGTGGATGCTCTGCGGGTTGGCAGCGTGGCGTAGGCGCCACAGGGCCTGGACTTCCTTGCTGGGGAGCGCCTGGACTTTGGCGAGGTCGAGGAACGAGTTGAGCGTCTTGACGCCCGGCGGCGGGGCCGTA